TAAAAGCCAGTCAGATGAAACGGTTTTATTTGTAGCTCAATTGAATAATGAAACACAAAGTTCAGTTCAGTTTTCAAAAATGATTTAAGAAGCAGTGAGAGTGAGAAAGACTTAAAAGTTTGACGCAGAGAGAGCTACACCGCTACAGAAGAAACAAACATGGCCGCCCTCCTTAACCAGGCAAGAAGAGGATGTGGTAACTCTGGAAGAGTTTTACGTATTTTCCAGGCACATAGTGTCATTTTATAGCTAAATCAATTTGCTATGTTACCTTCAGTTGTTAGAAAAATTAAAAAAAAATTGACAACTTCAAATTGGGTTTTTGTCCCTTTAAGAAGCTGCTGCTCTTTCCAACACTCCCCTTTCAAGAAGTTATCTCAACATTTTTTGTACATAAAGCCATTGGACTGAGAAACCTGCTGGAATTGACATACATTTCCAACAAGTGTTTGATGACTGCTGCTGCTGCTAGTCTAGAGGAGCAGTATGGAAATCAATGAGAAATTCAAGGATTTCTCAAATGTGAATGAAAGAATCAAAGCAACACTTTGATCAATAACAAAATAAAGCTCAAAAATGTTGATTTTATATAATACTGCCATTTAAAGGGTGCAGATAGAAAACAAACAGTTGAGATTCAATTTCAAATATGTAACAAATATTTTCTAAAAGTCACAACTTTCCACTTGTTTACATTAAATAAAAAACAAACCTAAAATCACACATAAAAACACAATAAGATATCAAAATTGCTTACAAAGATTATTATTTCTATCTCATGATGTATTTTTCATCATTTCAGGAAACTCCTTATGGTTTAGAGAGTGTTTTTGGAAACTAAGGCCCTTTCAGTCTCTGTGTTTCCATTGAGTAAATTTATATTTGTAATTCCAATTTGTTCAATTTGATGGTCAATGGAAATGCAGCGACTGGAACCAACACAAACCAAACCAACTTGGGTTTCAAATTCTCATCCATATTAATGCGTGTGTCAAACTCAAGGCTTGGGGGCCGAATCTGGCCCATCAGAGCTGTTTATGTGGCCCTATTGACTCCAAATTACATCAATAAGTCCCTCTAGTTTTTCACAAATCTGCAAAATGCACATAAAATAAAAAAACATTTTCTGATTTTACTGCAAATTTTCCTCAAAATTGGGCAAAAATATATTGGGTTTAAGTGACTGCCTCCTCAGCCTTGCTTGATGTCAATTTGTAGATACGGCGATTAATAAAAAGTCACATTTAACATCACACTAATATTGTAAACATTCATTGCAAATATTTATAAATTAGCATCACAAAATCTGTGAAGCACAAAATCAATCATGAAATCCTGGATGGGCTGATCAGCGTGAAAAGATGTTCGATATTTCATGTTAAACTCTGAAACAAACAGCAACTTTACAGATTAATGAGTTTCATCAATACATTCTGGCACAACCGGCCCTTTAAGAACATTCAGATTTTTGATTTGGCCCAAAATAAAACAGAGTTTGACGCTCTTGCTTTAATGCATATTTTAACTATTAACATATGCAGCTTTATGTCTCCAGTATATCTGTGGTGACTTCAGCCATTTTGTACAAATACTTCAAATTACTCGAGTTTCCAGTTTGTATTCTTGTTCATGATTGAGGTTTAATTGTATTTTCTAACACTACACTGAGAATTTAAACACTGAGGGACAAATTAAATACCTTTCTGTTCTACCGAGCGCAAACAAAGACACCGTTGTTATCGTCAGATCACATTGAAAAGAAACAAACTCACAACTTAATTAAATGTTTCTAATCAGCTCTCTTGACTGCAGCCCGATTTCAGCATTCCTTTAATGGAAGAGTTTTAATTCTTCCTGATGAACAGTTAAAGTGAAGCGCCACACTATCAAGGCTCTGTATGGTTACGCTCTGGGCAACACTCCTCATGTCCCAGCAGAGTTCTTAATTTAGCCGTTTCGAGCAATATTTGGCTGTTTGGAAAGCACACACCATATGGTTTCTCCTTATTAAACTGATTTAATGCTCTACCTGTGGCCTCATTAGGAAGGTTGTCCAAGACGAACGTTTAAATGTATAGCTCTGCAGCTCTTTTTCTTATTTCTGCTTGTTTTGCAGCAGAGAACCACACACTAACACACACCAGAGCTCATTGTTAATGTGTCCCTTCAGACTGCTCAAACTAGACCTGCGAGATGTTTGCAGAGATGTTTGCAGGCTGGCCGGAGGAACAAGGAAAGCAGAGTCTGAATGGGGAAAGAAACGAGAAAACAGAAGGCGGGACTTAAAAGGATGAACCGTTCTGATAAATGAACACGCCAAACCCTCGACTGCATCGGAAAGACGAAAAGAAAAAGCAGAGTAATTACCTGATGGCTTTTTATGATTTCTTGCAGAATGCAGCACAAAAATAATCAATGCATTCAATCTAAAACTGGGCATTTCCCCAATCTTTCTCTTTTTTTTTGGCTCGGAAAGTTAAAAATGTTTTCTGAATGACCACAAAAGTTGTGGAGGAAAGGTGCACATTTAATGCAATTATCGATTTCTTTGAGGAGAAGTGGGATTTAAATGTCATAGAGGAACTGGGCTGGAGACGAATGTCCGCAGAGAAAATTATTTATTCATGTTTCAGCCTTTGCGGCGTGTTGCAGTCAATCATCTGTCATTTCAAGAAGAATCGATACTAAACGTAGCTTTTCTCATTCTCCAGCACCAATCTGCCACTTAGAGCAGAAAAAGTGTTTTTCAATAACATTCTTACTTCCATCTGATCTCATTAAAAGGCATTCCAACATCCTTCACTTGTGAAGACTCTCCGGTGTTTAAAGTGACAGATTTCCATCAGGGACGGTACGGAACCATTTTAATTTTACAGAGCGATTGGAATTAGACGCATTAGGTGGGAAATGGGACGTCTTCATGAAGAGGAGAAGACGACTGCGATCTGCCTGAGGAGAACTTGGAGAGCCTGGTGTTAAATCTCAACCTATCAAACATCCCAAACAGGCCCGGCGGCCCGTTTCTCAGCTGTAAATCTACCGATACGGCAGTAAAAAAAACGGCATATAAAGGAAGAGAGCAATGAAGACGAGGCGACTGAAGGTTGCTGGCAAAAAAACCTGCAAAGTGGAATTTCACTGCAGTTTTTTCCACTTTAATGTTGATCCTCAGAGTTGTGAGGTAGTTAAAAAACAAAGCCACCGAGTTAAAAGTTAAAGTCAATAATTGGCTCTTAATGGGGTAATTAAAAACTCCTCTAATGCTTCACAGGACAACGCTGTGGTTTGTAAATGTTGCTTGGCAGGAAGAGTTGTGAAAGAAGCATTTTTCAGTGCGAGCACCATATTTTACCCAGATTTGCATCAATATTTTCTAACATATGGTCGGTTATTAGATTGGTCGGTCACAGATGCCCAAAAGCTGGAATGAAATCCCTCTGTTTATATTTAAGCAGATATTGCCCTTATTTTTGTCTCTGATGCTGCAAAAACACAAAATGTTTCCAAGTATTTTAGTCTAGTTTTTGTGCAAATATTTTGATCTCACTTGAAATAAGACTAAACTAACTTAGACCTGACTTTTTAGGATGTTTTAAGAGCTTATTCAGGTCAATATTTACTAATATCGATTAAAAGTAATATTTCTATTGGCATTTTTTCACTTATAAGATAATTATCTCAGACATGAAAAAATCTGCCAGTGCTTTAAAAAGTATGTGGTAAGATTTTGTGTTTTTGCATTTCATGAAAGTTTAACGCTTAAGAAATCTAATAATACCATTTTTTACATCAATGCGGAGGAAGGCAGATGTAACGAGATTATATTGGCACAGATATTCTTTATTTGGGATGATTGGCGATGTAAAACCGATCCTTCAAGTAAAACATGAAAAAAACAAAACAAAGCTAAAACAAAAATTAAATTCCATTTTACAGATGCTAGCTCATTCTTAAGGAAATATTTAGCAGTGCCAAGAATCTAAAACTGATTTTCTTTCAAAGATAAATGGATTCTGCTTTCATTCCACACGGCTGGAAATGTTTCTCTGTAAAAATCAAAAGTCAATATCATCAAAAACCTGCAGAGATCTTGATGCTGGTTAAAGATATCCAAAGAATATGTTGACATTTGGTTTTAAAAAAGTTTTTTATATATATATAAATATATATATATTATTAACAGAGACATGCACAACTGAATTGAAACAAGCTCCTAAATTTTGTTGAAAAGTTACTTGTAAGTTAGTTTTACTTTATTTTAAGTTAACTAAGATGTTTGCACTTGAAACTAGACATGAACTCTTTGGTAGATTTTGTGTTTTTGCAGTGTGGTGTAAACAACAGATGGATGGATGAGTTTCATACTTCGACCAGCTGTTTTAGTTTTATTCCAAACTTCATTTCTTGCCTCAGCATGAAAGTTTGCAGTAGAAATAAACAAACTTTTCTCACAAATTACAAATATCTCCTACCTGCGCCGGGGCTGTTCTTTTTAATCTCCAAAGATGTTCTGTTTTGCTGCACTGCTGCCTTTAATTATATCACCCACATTTTGCTCTGAAACACCTGGAGGTTTCCAACTGTTGATTTCAGAGTCTGGTGATCAACCATGAAACATTTCTGACACATATCCTGCAAATAATCTGAAACCCAGCGAGGGATGAATGACTAAATGAGCTGCAATAGTAAACACGCGGCCCCAACCAACACCCTTTGACCCAAGCGCTCCATCAAACCAGAGTATAAAACACTTTTAAAGGTTTGAGATAAAGACAGAAAAGATGAAGAGGAGAGAGTGATGCAATGGAAAACAGAGAGAGACGTTTATTCTATCCTGAGCAGCCTGGAGAAATGCCAACGGAGTTATGAGGAAAACCCCTCAGGGATTCAATTCGTTTCTCTCTCGTTGACACAAGCCTCACATTGACGTGGCAGTGAAAAGGAATCGGACTTGAAAGAGAGATATCGTTACATCGCAATGACAGTTCTGAACGCCTTACCATTTTAGAGGTGGTGGTGGGATCGATGCGCTGAGTAACGATTAGCATCGACATGACTGAAGTTGGGGACGACAGCGCTCCGCTCCTCTGGTCTCCTTATCCTCAGTCACAGAAAGTCCTTAATGAGCGAGACTCCAACCCGGAGTGGGAGGATTAGCGTAGCCTGAGACCCGACTCGCCAGCTGACTGCCGGAGTCTGAGCTCAGTCCCACGTTGGCCAATCAATCACGCGCCGACACAGATTCAATGAGATACGCGTCGATTCATTCACCGGGATGGACTCGGGAAATCACTCTCTCCTGCAGCTGATCCGTCCCTCCGACCGCTGCAGACCTCTTCTCTGACTTTCCTCAGCTTCTCGAGTTTCTCATCAGCGATTACGAGGCTTATCAGTCAGTGTCTCCCCAAGATGTCATCTTCTCCAACTCTCACTTGTAGTGGCTGCATCCAGCTTGTGTGTTTTGTCTGCACGCTCCCTCCCACCAGACTCATTCTCAGTCTACTCCCCAACTTTCTCTCCTCTTACTCCTCCAGCGTGAGGCTGGCAGTATCTTTTCGTCAGGTTCTGCAGCCCAACTTAATTGGAGGTTCAAACGTAATCTGTTGGTTTGGCCATGAGAGAGACATCTGCCAGGAAGCGCGGCCAAACCGGGACTCTTTACATCTTCATCATCGCTTCAGTGAGATTAAGGTGTGCAGCAGTGGGTGTGTGTGTGTGTTTGGAGCTGGCAGGTGGGCAAAGAGACAGCAAAACAGGAGGGAGAGGACGAATACAAGAACAGACGGGAAACAAATCCGTTTTTGCCAAGTCGTGCAAGAGAATGAACCGAAGAGAAGCAACTGTATATGGAAGAGTTGCTTCAGGAGTTTCAATGAGTTCGTCATCAATTTAATCAATCTGTGTGATGGGATGCAATAAAGACGCAACATTTTAATATGTCACTTCACAAATTAACCCGACCTCTTCGGAAAACTGACCGGCGCCGATGGAAATCCATGTTGAGTTTACAGCGACACATCTGAAAGGTTCTCCACTAAATGTTTGGATCCATACGAGTTCAAGTGAAATTTCTCAGTTCCAGTTAATATTGTTTCAAGAACAAGAGGAAGAAAAGTGGCAGCCACTGCAAACACTACAAAAACAAAATATTACCAAGCTTGTGTGGGTTTCAGATGACGTCGGGCGTCAGGAAGTTGTACCCAGTACAACACTTTTATTCTTTTGGCTGAGAGGTTGCCAGGCGACGATGGAGTTTTGTTCCAAAAGCGAGCAGAAAATGTTTCGTAAGCGAGCCGATAGTCCGAGCAGAGACAGTCTGACCGCCAGGAGAAGTTTCAAGCACAAGCTTTACAAGTTTTGAGAACAAAAGACATAAAATCCTGCTTTCAGAAAATTTCCCCCATAGCAGCAGAAATGAGCAGAAACTGAGCTCCAATCCTTCACTCCAATAACACCTTCGGGTATCTTCTGTTTGCACAATTACGAGGGCCTCAGAAACACGATGCTTGTCATAACGCCAATCCATCTTTTTTTGCCCCCAAAAGCAATTTGAAAACATCTCTGGGTAACTGCCAATATACGGCTGAGATCTAATATCATTTCCCCTGATTTATATTCCATACGCAGCTCAACGTGTAAGCACGCTGAAGAGTGGTGGCTCTAAAAAATGGACAGCATGCATGCTGCGACTGGATGAATATATGCATGGATACCCAATCCCATTAGCACAATATGGTCTGTGTTGGCGCTCATACTGATTCATGCTACCAGACTGGCAAGCTGGTCTTGGTCAGAGAAAAACTCCTGAAACTTTCCAACAATCTGAGCCAAACTGGAACAGTTTATATGAGTAACTTTTGGAAAAACATTTACTTTTCACCTTTACTTGAGTAATTTTATGAGGTATTTCTATTCTTACTTGAGTAAAAATTCTACCCACTGAATGAAAAACAAACAGAAATTCACCTGCAGTTTTTGTTGAAGTTTCTTAAGGAACTATTTTGGAAACATTTCTGCTTATTTAATTTTGTGACTCATTTGAATTTTTGTCATTTTCATCCTTAAAATACCCAAATTTCCACCTAAATTCATATTTTCGCCATCTGATTAAATGATAATTTGATCATTTTTTACCAAATACTTTTCACTTTTACTCAAGTAGATATATGTTGTACCAATGCTACTCTTGAGTACTTTTTTTTAGCATACTCTGCCTGCCGCTGAGATGTAATTATTCCCCCTTAGCGCTTCGTTCCGACTGAGGTAAGTAGGGGCCAAGGTCCCGTCTTATTTAGCGGTCGTTGGGCAAAATTTGCATAAACCTAAAGTTGCCAAATGACCTCACACAAACTTGAACACCCCTGAGAAAACCAATTTTACGTGGGAATACATAAGTAGCATTAGAAAATGTCTCAGTTCAAGCTCTTTGTAAGGGCGGCCCCCTCTGTGAGTAATTTATTGATCCCCTGACATTTTATCCTGCATCAAAATCAAATTTACTTTCTTTGATGAAAAGCTTGGGGGCTTTTAGCTAATTCAAAGGATGAAGAGAAACAAATCACTGTGACACATTTATTAGGAGTCCGATGGTTCTGTAAAGAGAAAGGAACATCACCCAGAACGGACTCGGTGTAATGTCATTCCTTGGACTTTATAGTCCCAAAGCTCCCTGGTGTTGCCGCTTATTGCTAACGTTTCTGAAACTTAACCACAACTTTCAGTAGGACGTATCTTTTACAAAAATAGTTTTTTTTCCCATGGTTTTTAAAAACATGTCGTGATCGCGTGGTATAAACCAAAAATCTGAGAAAACCAAACAAACTGAGCTCTTCCGCTTCCTCCTCGTGTCACAAAATGCAAAAATGTCTTGCTCCACAAAAACAACCAATCAGAGCCAGGAGGCGGGGCTTACCGCTGACAATCAATGGCGCTAAATGTTTTAACTTAACATTTTGTGAAAACCGTTTATCTGACGTGAAAAATCTCAGTAGCACAATGCTATGTGACCTGCTATGTGGCCAACATAGCATTTTTCACCTGCTATGTTGTGTTGAACCAGTTTTGTTTGTTGTTGTTTTTTTTTTTACAGATTATCTGTTTTATATTCTACTGTAACAATGATCATTTTACAGTAGAATAAAATTTTCACAGAAAATATGTAAAAAAATATATATATTTTTTTTTTAAATGAAAGTTTAACAGAAAAACTGAACAAGATTTGAAAAAGTAACCAGTAAACCCCAGTAAAAAACCTGAGAAGTTCTTGTAAAGTAACTGGTATTTTCGAATGAAAGTACATTGAAGTTTCTGAAAAGTAACTTCTGAGTTAACAGGAAGTATCTGTAAGCTGCTCGGGTTCTGGTTCAGCAGAACCTGAATAGTTCTGGTAACCAATAAGTCCCCAGAGATGTGAAGCAATTACCAGGTGAGGTAATCTCAAAGCTCTGAAAAGAATCAGCCGTTTTATGAAAACAATGCAACCAAAATAAATATTCAGTAATCGTCAACAAATCAAAGTTTGGCAGTTTTTCTGATTCTAAAAAGTTTATGCTTAAAGTTTTCTTTGCTACTGAAGTGATTCTAACATTTAAATCATATCCAGATACTTTTCAAACTGATATTTTCTGCTTTTTAATGCCAGATAAACTGATTTGCTAAACTGGTGAATATAAAACGAGAAGCAACTTTTCTCAGCCTGTTGGGTGAAATCAGGACCTCCAGCTTCACTGAGCAGCTGGACTCTTTCTGAGTCGGGTTTCATCATCTGAAGCTCCTTTTTTAGTTAATTTAATAGTGAAAAGAGAACAAGATTTGCTGCAACTGCTCAAAAATAAACCTTGAGTGTTAGTTTAATAAGGAATTTAGGCAGGATCACAAACTGCCGTTTTCAAGTCGGATTAATCTTAAACTTTAACGTTCCTGGTTATTGTAGCGTTAAAGCCGATTGTTTCTCAGACACATCACAGAAAATTTGTCTGATATTAGAAAATTATTCCATTTAAACGAGAGAAAATTTACAAGTGCATGAAATCCAGTTGAGAAAATTGTTTTACATCATCAGATGATGTAAAATTATCCATTTCCAATTAGAAATGTCTTTATTTAAAGCAAAAGTACACAAAATAAAACCAGATATTTGTACACAAACATTTTTTTCTCATTATCTGAAGTTAAATCAGACAAAACGTTTCTTGTTTTACATTATTTAGAATCATCAAAATAGCAAGAAAACATAGTAAGAATATTTTTGTAACATTTCTCAAACCTTGTTTTTTTTTTTTTTTTTTAAACTGCATGACTTGCACTGTAAAACCTAAAAATAAAAGCCCGTCTGCTGCCTTCAAAATGCAATAGAGAAAAATGTGCGCCAACTTTTTCCTACATATTGAGAAATTTATTATTTGGCTTAAATTGCAGAATTAAGTTAAAACTCTGATGATTGTTGCTAAATCATCTTCATGAACTTTAATTTTCTTGTCAACTTAAATTGAAACACTTTGAAATGTTTTACAGTGCACCCAAGAGGTTTGAGCCAGTTCAAGCAGTTTAAAAATTAAAAAAAAAAAGATTCGAGAAAGATTAAAGAAAAACATTTTCTGGCTTTTGCCAAATAGAAGCAACTTTGGTAATTCTAGCAAAGCAAAAACAAGAAAACCTTTGGTCTGATTTAACTTCAGACAATGAGGAAAAAGATGTTTGTGTGTAAATATCTGGCTAAATGTAGCTCTGATGTTTTGGTGTGACATCATCACTGTCAGACGAACACTCCAGGAAATAAATCTCGACACTCAGTGTGTCCATCTGGTCCCTCGGAGGTCTGCTTCTGGTGCCGTCCAACGATTTTTCATTTTGATGTCAGATGTTTCATTTCGCACCGAAAGTTATGGCTGCTGCCGCAGGAGGAGAGCATTCACTCAGCCCGCAGCGAGCGGATTCAAACGCCTCATATTTTCTAGTTTACAGACGCAGCCGACTGTGTGATTGGTTGCATTTCATGAAAAGCAAAACTGACTTGGATGACAGAGTTTTCTGTTTTGAATAACATTGATGAATAAACGACTTCTGTGACAAAGTGTCTCAAATACTGAGGCTTTTGTGAATAAAGGAAACATCGGATGAGAGTAATTTAATTAAAATACAGTCAAGGACAAATTAGGGAACAAGAGGGAAAATGATGCAAACTGTCAGAGGAAAGAGAAATGACTTCATTAGAAAATCACCAGCAAGAGAAACTGAAGGTGATTTAGACGGTTTGAGTAAAATATCCAAAAATGAAAGTAGTTATCCAAGTAAGAGTCAATAATTCTACTCAAGTACTGATTAAATGATCAAATTACTCATTTAATATTAAAAAATAGCATCATCAGATGGACTAAAACTTAAAGTTCATTGGATTTGTTGGCATTTTAAGGAAAAATTGGCAATAATTCACTTATGTAACCAAAAATAACAAAATCAGGCAAAAGAAAAATGTTTCCAAATGATATTTTTCAACATAAAACTTTAATAAAAACTGCAGCCGTGTGTCTGTTTGGTGAATTTTTGGTTAAAACTGTTTTTCACTCAGATTTTACTCAAGTAAGAGTAAAAATACTTGATGGTAAAATTACTCAAAAAGTAGGAAAGATACTACTAGAAGTACATCTTTTCAAAAAGTTGTAACTGAGGAAATGTAACGAGTTACTACCCAGCTCTGATGGATGGGGATTGTATTGTGGGTTTACTGTAACGGTCAGATTCTTGGCATGTTGGGTTTTTTTTGCTTGTGTCCCATCAGCCAA